AAATTTAGGTTACTTTGTTTTAAAAAAAAAAAATATATTACTATATATTTTAGAATGATATGTGTTACTTATGACTTACATGTGTTATATAATATTAGTTTTTATAACTTGTATCATATAACTAATTGAAATATAAATATATTAGTTTATAAATTAATTTTATTTTTCTAATTAATATTAAAAGTAATTTTATTATTGTTATAAAGATAAATATAAATTATTTTTTTATACATACAATATAGATGTTAAATCGAAGCTCATAAAAAAAGATTAATTTGATATATTACATATGTATGACTGATAAAAAAATACAAAAGTTATTAACTTTTAAAACATATATACAATTCAATGGTTATAATAAGGAATGATATTAAAATACAATTAATACATGTAACATGACCATAAATAATCAACATATTTATGGTAATCCGAACCTAATTATTTTTGGTTTGAAATTAAATTAAAATTTACCCAAGCCTAATAACGAAGCATGTAATTTTGCCACATATGATTCCGAAACACCAAAAGCAGCCACGTAGGCTCAGCACGTTGTGGATTAATATATAGGAGGATATCACATATTAATTTAAAGTATTTTAGGCCACTTGTTCGTCCATGCATGCAATGCGCACATTCCTCTTTAATTTGAGGGCATAATCTAGGTGGGTTTTTGTTCCATTGTAGTTCAGGTTATCATTCGATCACTTCTAATGCATGTCTGAAAATTAGGGCTTTTTATTTTATTTTTTTCCCCCAAACAAATTTTGCAGGATTACAAGTAACTAGAATTGAATCTGTTGCTAGAGGGTATTAAAAGGTTGCACCTTGCGAAAGCTCGCAGCTTTTTCATACTAACGAGGTTATTTCTACTCTGTTCTTCTTTTCTGTTGGAATATCACTTGTGAGTTGTCCCACGTTGATTTGATAGGATAAATGAACCTAGTTTTTGGGATGGAACCTCACTTGGACTTCATTTGGGCTAACCCTCTTATGGTGCGCTTCACCTGTGTGGGACCGCACTCGTTTTGCCCTCGATTTGACATTTTCAGCTTGACTATTGTCTGAATTCTTCAGTTGTCTGAATTTCTCTGCCCCTTTTTATTTTTTATGGTTGGTTTTATATTTTTTTTTTTCTTGTTATTCGACCTGTTTGGTTTTTTGGCATGTTTTGCTGAGTGTTGGTTAAATGAAATATTTTGTTATGTTTACTCTGATTAAATTGGTCCGTTATAGCTTCTTAACTACTGATGCCCGTTAGTTCTTTTTTATTTTGGCTGAATCATATCAGATTATCCTTTTTTCATACTGATCTATCTAGTTGAATTTATGGAATGTCGACTTAATTGAAATCTTTATCTACGTTAATGTGGTTTCGTAGTTGGTTTTTCCAGTTGATCGTGGTGTACGTGTCAAATATGTGTTGGTTGAGTAAATTAATTTCAGACGGTGTTAGTTCCCACGGCTCAATCTTATTTACTGTCTCGTTCCATTGCTCGACTTCTTGGTCCGATAAATATGGTTAATTGTGATGTACACGTCTTCACTCATTAGCATTGCTGCTCGAGATGTACACGGCTTTTCTCAGTCCTACTCACAATTGCATTGTCTCATCCAAATACAGGCATCCCATGCAAAATGGGACACCGAAATATTCAGTTTAACAATTGTATGATCGAGATGCAACCCGATCGAGGCCATCATCACATCCATCTCAATCCCGAACCGTGCATTGCCTACTCGAATTTACCAAACTACCCTCACCGGAATATCAACTTCCATCCTGTTCCCGAACAACATCACGAAAATGCCTTGTTACTATATGCCATGCCTCAGCAAAACCTGGACCTGAATGTCTCCCCACCCACCACCCATTACAACAGAAATCCGTATTTAACACTGCCAGCTTGCATTAGTGACTTTCCCGTTCCAATAAATCACGTTTATGGTGACAGTATGAGGGGCGCGTTCAAGAGAAAGAATTTCGAGGGTTCGTCGCCGTCTAATCCTCAGTTCCAAAATGCTCAGGTGGGGCCCAGCTCTTCCGAGAGTGATTTGGTCGAGAATGGGCCCACACGAAGCGTGAGGAACCGGGCTCGTGTCGTGGGGCCCCATCGAGTTTACGCGGCTATGCCCAGTGGCGTAGCCAGGTAGGGGCTAACCAGGGCTTTAGCCCAGGGTCAATTTCTTCCCAATGTTAATTAGTATAGATATTATGTTTAAGAATAAAA